AACCCGTGAACACCCCTAGGGACTGGAGGAATGACAAAAGTAAATAAGGCGTTTTAAAAAATGGCTAAACATATTGAATATTTGTATAATGACTAAGTGATGTTTTTTTTAGAATCCTAAATATTATTTTGGACAAATATACCCCTCTAAYTATATGTTCTTAATTTTAGGAATTTTATTTGGTATAATAACTTGTAAAACAATGCACCCTAATGATAGGAATCAACTCTAAATAATCAAATTTAAACAACTAAAATCTAATTTAAAATTTCTACGTGGGATGGGTAAATATATTTAATAGGTCCATACAACTATGAAATCAGATCAAATCAAACATACATTGTCACATACATCGTCACGTGAAGTCGTCTTGACACATTTTTAAAAAGGAGTGCTCAATTTTAACCACTCGCCTAAATTATCCAAAACCAAAATAACCTAATGACCCACGTAGGCCTTTAAAATGTTGGGCCTTCATATAGTGAAAATACCCAAGAGTAGTGGTGTTCACGGTTCGGTTTGATTCGATTTTAGAGTCGAACTGAAACCAAAACCGAATATTGAAATGGAAAATTTCAAACCGCACCAAACCGCATGCATCGCATAAACCGTACCGAAAATTCGGTTCGGTTTAGTCTGTTTCTGGGCTAGAAAACGGCGTATAGTCCAAGTGCACTATTTTCTTGTTTTCACCGAAGTCTGACTTCTGCATCAAAGGGATCGGAGTTGGTGGCTAGCAACGACGGAGTTGGTAGATGTCAGAGACGAGGTCGGAGTTGATGGTCGGCAGCGGCGGAGTTGGCATATGGCAGCGGCAAGGTTGGAGCGGTGGTTGGTAGCAACCGTGGTGGTCGTAGCACAACATCGAAGGTAATCAGGGAGAAGTTATAAGGAAGAAAGAAAAGTCAGGGAAATGGGAGAAGGAAGAAACAAAAAGGGGAGGGAGATGGAAGAAAAGAAGAATGAAAAAAGGTTGAAGAAAGTGAATAAATTTTGAAAAAATAAAATTAATCAAAAGYTGCCAGCCAGCAGCCATTAAATCAAAGGCTGCATGCAAGTTGGCAGTTATTTTGAGGGACTCGAGGTGGCGTTGGCACTTGTGTCATGCCTTTAAATGTTGTATAATATAAATAATATAAATAATATCTATTATAAATAAATAAAAGTAAAATTTAATATTTATATATATATATATCTAATTATATATTCGGTTCGGTTTTAATATCGGTTTTTGACTCTTGAAACGAAACCGAAACCGAACTGAAATTTTGGTTTGACTATTTTATTAAACCGAACCGAACCGAACCGAACCGAAAACCTGTAAAAACAGAAAATTCAATTCGGTTTCGGTTTCGGTTCGGTTTTTCGATTCCATCGATTTTATCAGTTTTGTTGTGCATCCCTACCCGATAAACAGCAAACAGCAAAGATCAAATTGAACCATTGTCGTTTTGGCCTTGGATATATCCTCTCCCACTGTTTGAAATTTTTTTCCTCCCTTTCTCAGAACAGTAATAATAACAACAATATGTTCGGTAGTTGATTAAATATTAAATTTAGTGCCGAAAATTTCCAAATTTGAAAGCAAGTGAAGTTTAAATGAATTTGGTGATAAGATCAAATAATATAATCACGTCAAAAAATGCCTTAATAAAACGACGGGTAGGGTAGGCGTTTTGAAAGTTGCGAATTACTACTACCTTATTTCCATGGCCATGGCCCATACATACGTAATTTCTTCAGTTCAAAGCTGAGTTTTTTCCATTATAAAAACCCATTTTTTCAGAAGCTTATCCTCCACACTATTCTCTGATCTTACAAATCAAACATGGCACCTGATTTT